CCTTCCTTCCGAGGAGTGGCTGGTGGGTTTGAACCGCCAGCCGTCTGGTTAGCAGGCAAGTGTCTTAGCCACTATGCTACCAGAGCTCCCTCTGTGCCTAGCAGACCCAATTCTATGTCTTCTCTACCTCTAATCCTCTCCATCTCTGCCCTCAAGGCAAATGTAAGTGTCCTTTTATATGCTTACCTTACCACTTTTGGAGCCCTGGTGGTATAGTGGTCAAAGCATTCAGCCACTAATCAAAAGGTCAGTGGTTTGAACCCACAAGCCACTGTGCAGGAGAAAGATGAAGCAGTCTGCTTCCATAAAGATTTACAGCCATGGAAGCCCTATGAGGTGATTCTACTCTGTCCTAAAGGGTCACCCTGAGTTGGAATCAACTCAATGGCAGTGGGTTTGGTTTTGATTTTACCACTTCACTCACATCTCTCTCTAGTACACCACATCCTACTGTTTCCCACAGAATTAATGTGTGCTTGAGGTTTGCACCATTGCAGGCTACTTAGCACAGTGTCAGTCCCTAATGTATGTCAACTAAGTGATTGAAATCTCCTTTATGGTCTCTGATGGAGACACTAGAGGTTAACACAGTGCTCATCAGAGGACAATGACACACCAATGGACTAACAGGCTTTGATGTTTTTCAAATGAATATACTCCCTTTCCCCACCAAATCCCTTGAATCAATTAATAGGAACAACATGTTCACAGTCCATGAAAGAAGAGTCCAAAAAGGAGGGCAGGATGGGAGAGGTATTTTCTAGTTTCATGTTGGCAGCCACCCAACAGTCTGTCCCTGCATCTCCAGCCATATGGCCTCTGCGTCAGTCTAGGTCTCAGTTTTCCAACTTGTCCTTGGACAAGTACAGCTGCCACCCAGCTGGTCTCTGCCCTTGTCTTCCTCTAATTCTTCTAAAATGCAAACCTCCTTAAATTTTGTACCATGGGCACCTCTCTTGCCTCACCCTAGTCCTGTCCTTGCCTTACAGGGGACCAACTCTGTAGAGCAATCAATGCTGAAAGTTCACTGTGGGATCAGCTGAGGCTAGTCTAGTCGAGATTACCTCCTTGATTGGCTTTTCCTCCAGCTTATCTTTCTCCTGGAGTCCCAGGGTGGTGCAAACAGTTAGCATGCTCAGATGCTACCTAAAATATTGGAGATTCAAGTCCACTCAGAGGTCCCATGGAAGAAAAGCTTGGTGATCTACTTCTGAAAAACTAGCCATTGAAAACCATGTGGAACACAGTTCCACTCTGACAGACATAGGGTCCTTATGGGTTAGACCTAACTCCATGGCAACTGGCATTGGTATCTTTCTCCCCTCACTCTTCCTCTCCCATCAATAACTTGCACAACATCCCCTGTCTCTGGATTTGTTCCTAGGAATTGGTCTAAGCCAAATGCCTGCTGTATTCCAGGCCTATTGCTAGGCACTGGTATGTATGGAACAGCAAGCAGCACAGTGTGGCAGTGCTACATGGGAACCCTCAACAATGTACTAGATAGTTGAGGGGAGGGGTAGCCAGTGATGTTACAGGCATGGTCAGAGAAGCTTCTTGGATAAGGCTGAGAGTTAGATTATGATAGATAAACTGAATCTGGGCTTGCCAAAAAGCCTTCACTAGAGCTTCCCATCAGAACTGAAATGCTGAGAATGGTCTAGATCTGCCCTGTTCACTATGATAGTCACCAGTGTGTGTCAAGTGTGACTGAATTTTTTACTTTATTTCATTTCAATTCATTTAAACTTAATTATTTTGAATTTAAACAGCCACGTGTGACTAGTGGCTACATATTGGAAAGCACAGATCTATACTGACCTCTAGTTGCAACTAAGTCAATTGTGACACATGGTAACCTCATGTATGTCAGAGTAGAACTATGATCCATAGAGTTTTCAATGGCTGATTTTTCATAAACAGATAGTCAGGCCTTTCTTCCAAGGTACCTCTGGAAGAACTCAAACCTCCAATGTTCTGGTTAGCAGCTAATTGTGTTCATCAAAGTTTAACTCTGTAGAGCACAGTTCTACTCTGACACATGTGGAGTGCCATATGTCAGAGATAATTTGATGGCAACTGGTGGTATACTGACCTCGGTGATGGTACCCAGGACCAAGCCAACCAGCCGTCTAATGTGGAGAGTAGCAGGTGCTGGGTATATAGTCACTTCTTGCTGATGAATTTGACATGCTTCCAAAACAGACTGCAGCGATAACCGCTTGCAGGGCTGGTCTTCACACATGGTTAGCAGAATGGAGTGCAGAGGCTCACAGAGCTGCAGAGGCTGGGGAGCAGACAGGGTTGTGTGAGAAGCCTGGAGTGACACTGAATTCAATACGTGTGCAGCTGGACCCTACTAAAAACAGATGTTCTCATTATGTCCACTTCTTTCTTCCATGTCTGTCTTAGTCTGGAAGCTCGGCTAAAACCTGTCCACCATGGGTGACCCTGCTGGTATTTGAAATGCCAGTGGCATAGCCTCCAGCCTCATAGCAACACTCAAGCCACCACAGTATGACACTTACTAGAAGAGGCCATCCATTTCTCAAAGAATTGGCCAGTGAAAACGTTATGAATAGCAGTGAAACACTGTCTGATACAATACTAGAAAACTTTGTGAATAGCCCTGAAACATTGTCCAATACAGCGTCAGGAGATGAACCCTTTGGGTCAGAAGGCACTCAAATATACAACTGGGGAAGAGTTGCCTCCTCAGAGTAGACCCGACCTTAATGATGTGAATGGAGTAAAGCTTCCAGGACCTCCATTTGCTGGTGTGGCATGACTCAACATGAGAAAAAAAACAGCTGCAAACATCCATTAATAATTGGAACACGGAATGTACAAAGTATGAATCTAAGAAAATTGGAAGTTGTCAGGAATGAAATGGAACACATAAAGATCAATCTCTAGGATCTGGAAAGATGGCAGACTAGGCAGAAAGACTGCACAGACCCTCTTCAACAAAGAAAAGGAAAACCAATTAACACAGACACAGAAGATAATCCTGGGCCTCTGAGCCTTGAAGGGAAGGATATACAAGTGGACTAAACCCCAACTAGCAGAAGAATTTGCATGGAAATACCAAAAAGGAGACAGACGGAGCTGCGGTCTGGCAGAGATCCTGAGCGATCCTGATGGCATAGACAGATTGGAGATTCCCAAGTGGTGGTAGGACCTAAAAATTAATCTAAAAAATCACCCTGCTAGCCAGGGATTGCACAGAGGACTGTACACGGTGGCTGGGGAACAAATGGAGAAGGTGAAGAGAAAGGTGGGCTGAGGTGGACTTTTGCCGGTCCAGAGAGTGCCACCACTTTGAAGGTTTAAAAAGCAGTTTGACTATTTTGGATATTTAAAGAGACAGTGCTCTGGCAGATTCCTCGGGCTTAAGAACACGTTCTGCTTTCCAGCAACCCCAAGGACACTCAGGACCTGCAAGACTGACAAGGTACGACATTCCTCTTGTTACTCTTGGTGAACGGAGGTGCAGCCAACCTCCACTCCCACCTAACCTTCTGGGCCCACAGGAACTCCATCACAGTCTGTGTGCTCAGATGGAGCCTGGGTGCCCTGACCTGTCATCCACTGATTTTTTTTTCTCTTTTCTTATTTTTATTTATTTATTTATTTATTTATTTATTT